CTGAAGTACTTGACCCTAAAATATTGACCCAGTTTTTATCTACCTTCTTGTTGTATAGTTTCCATTCAATATATACTGACTGCCATATGAAAGGCAAGCATGAGCACACAGTTGACAAGACATTGGCACTAATTGTTATCACACAGAGTTGAGAAATGGAGAATTGGATTGACTTTCTATCTCAGTGAGACAGGAACAAATTCATCAAAGATTGTCCATTATCTCCGTAACTGTCAAAGGAGCCGCAGATTAGGTCAGGAGAGATCAAAGACACAGTGCTTTGCTTTCGGTATTTTCACATCCCTGTTCATATGCTGGGAGAAAAAACAGCTCTTTGCACAGTTTTTGTGAAGGAAAAAAACAGTTAAAAAGTAATATTTTAAAACAAGTATTTTTTTAAATACTGAAAACAGAGGAAGGCCACTAAATCAAAAGCAGGTGGTGATGTGACCCAGCATCAACACCCTGCATGGTCTGTGAGTTCCCCTCAGATTGGCTTTAACCTGGTCCCTGGATGAAACACCATCACCACATCTGTATTATGAAGCATCAAACATTAGTTTCAACTTGTACTGTTATAAAGTGCACAACTAGAGCTCCCAATTTAATATCCCCTGTTGGACATCTGGTTTGTGTGTAACAAAACTTCCTCTGGAACCAAAAAATGTGTAACAACTGCAGTTAATTGCAGGATTAACCTCAGAACTGGGCTGCTGCTTCATGTAAAATGTTGGAGGTACATCTCTGGAATAACACCTGTTTAGATAACTGGTCAAAGACTAAGTGCCTCTAAAACAGAGAAGTATGTGACAGAGAAACAAAGAGGAAACTACTCCTATTTTTATTATCCCAGTCACTGAAATAGGACATAACCCCATATGTCCTGTTTATATAAAGAAGATCTGGTTGAAAATGTGAAGTTTATTCTAGCATCTAAAACTGTCCACTCAGGCACTGACAGACCACAGAGACCAGGAAGAATCTGGAAGTATATATATATATATATGAATACATAGGAATTTCTCAGCCTGATTTCAGCAGCTGTCATTTAAGGTCCCAGATCTGAAATTCAGGAGATTTAGATCTCCTGAATGGTCCCTTCAGGTTGTATGATATGTTCTAGACCTCGTGATTAAATCAGCTGTCAAGATATTCTACCTCAACAAAACACCTAAGTATTCTAGCAACCCTGGATACAGCATACCATGAAGCCTTAAAAAAGATGATTTGGGAGTGTTTAAGTCATTGCCCTTTTGCTAGCTATTTGCTGTAACAATATAAAAGTATCATAAGTAACTATTACTGCCTAAAAATTCAGAAGTATTCTACTATTTAAAAACATGTAAGGTGGCCTAAAAGTTAAGTCAGAAGACTGTGGTCATGCCCACCAGAAGATCCAAAATTCACCTCAAATAATCTATAGTCCTTGTGAATCAACATTGTCTTTGCCTTATACAAAACAGTCATTTGGAGCCAAAAGACCTAGGTTTAAAAACACTGGGAGTTTCTGCTTCCTTTTATTTCCTTTATGATATGTCATCATGCTTTTATTGCCAGTCTTCAGAAAAATATCACCAAGTTTAAAGGTCTAAACAGCATTCATTCCTGTTTGTTCTTTCCTATAAATCCTCTAGCCATATTTATACCAAAGACAATTTGAAAACTTTTCCAGAGGGACTGCATAAAAGATGGAACCTATATAATGTTTTTATTCTCTTAGCTGATCATTTTATAATATTGAAATTTTTAAAATTTCGTTGATAACAATGTTCCTAGTTTATCTATTTGCAGGCATTGAGGGGTTCTATGTGTAAAGCAGAGCAGATACACAGCATAAAATATTTACTTTTTCTCAAATAGCTCATTCCATTTCACCATGGATGATTTTGAGCAAGGACTGTGACTAGAGAGATCTGTAATTTTAAGTAATGCATTCCTACCTTTGAGCTGCAAACTGACTTTCAGCTTCCTACATGGAGAAATAGAGATGCTGAAATTTTCACACAGACGGGAATGCAACTGGCATTTACCTGAACAGGGAATATACACTACACAGTATAGTGTCAGAGCAGATTATATCCCATGAATACCTGTGAATTATAGTGGTATCTACTAGCACCACTGTGGTCACAGGTCTGTCAGCTGTGCCAGGAGAGCTGTTGGTGCTAAGAGCTGTAGGGAGGCAGGGGTGTTGCAGATCAAACACCGACATGTGTTGTTGCTGGAAATTTTTGTATACAGTCTCCTCTGGCTTTTTTATTCATCTCTCTCCTGTTCTGTTTGAAATAAGCTGTTGTCACATTCAAAGGCAATGTGATAAAGATGCAAGTTCACTTGTACATATGTGTTAGGTTATGTGGAAAAAAGGCTTTTCTGCCCACACAAAGATGTGTGAGGCACAGGGTCAGGCAGGGGAAACTCAGTAACCTCATCACCTACACCTGCTCCCTGTCTCAACCTGGAGGGTTCCAGGGGAGTATCCCCCCAGTGAAGCTGGGGACAACTCCCCTCAGACTGAGGGAGGTGCAGGATCTTGTGATGGGATGAAGAGGAGGAATTTCTTGACATTGCATAAGACTTATTAAAAATTTAAGGAAGGAGCCAAAGGAGGGGAAATGGAAGAATCAAAGTGTTTCATGGAATAAGCATGGGATAGAATAAGCATAGATGAATAAGGCGATAAAAGAAGATAATCACATGTAAATAGTCATATTTAAACATCCATATTACAGTTATTCTGTTTGTCTGCCTGGCCATGCCCTGTAATCATCACCACCATCTGTCCTGTCTTCTTGTGTAATCCTATTTCTACTTCTTTACCTTGGTGATGGACCTGTGTGTTCTTGGGGTGGGAAGGATCTGAGTGGCAGCAACAAGAGTCAGACCGTGGGTCAAAGGGACTCTGTGTCTGTGGTGCCAGTAATTGCAGACACTGTGAGTGATTGTGTGTCACCAACCACTCACAAACCCCAGCAAATGTCACACTGAACAAGTCAGGGAGCAGGATACAGGGCTCAGCAGCCATGTATGGAAGTGGACTCCAGTTTGGGGTGCATCTGAGTGTGCATCTCTGTGAGGGAGACAGCTACTGGAGGGACCCAGAGGTCAAGGCTGATTGCTAGAGACCATGGGGTGGGACCAACTGAGAGAGAGAAATAGAGAGAATTTTTGTGAGTGATGCACAAGCCACTCACTGGGAAGACCGAGTGTGTAAGACTGGCTACAGAAGGGCTCCACAGTGCAGCTGTCTGTGTGTCTCTGCATCTGTGTGTGCAGAGGGAGGACTGGGGCTGGTACCAGCCTTGAAGTTGTGTGCCCAGCTGCCAGAAACTAGAGAGCCTGGGATCCAGAGGAAGCTATTGCACAGACCGAGTGTATGAGCCTCGCTGCCGTAGGCATCCACCTTGCAAACGTATATTCATTCCCATTAATGCATCTTCATCCTTATCAGGGGGGTAAGAGGATGAGGTCACATGTGCTGGGATTTTTTCGATGCTGAGTGTTTCTGTTCATTTTGATCTGTGTAGCTGAACATGTCTAAATATAAAAACTCAATTTGTGAATTCATGCCCCCACTACGAATGCATGTTCACCTCTAAGAGGCCAGAAGATTCAGCAACACTAACCATACCTGGCTTCAGCAAGTGGACAGAGAATATGATTAGCAAAACTAATTTATGCATACAAATTTCTCTTAAAAATAATATAAAAATAAGTATAAAGGATGTATAAATATCTTGTTACACAAATAATCGTTAAATATTGCACCAGTTACATATTCTACTCTGTGGCACTTTCAATGTATCATATAGAAAATGCATATAAATCCAAGGCAAAAATGAGTGGCTTTCAAGAGAGAGGTCTACTCTCTGAGTTATCCCCATTTAATTTGTACAACAATGACCCTGTAGCTGGTATAGTCAACTGAATCAATACCATGCATATTTGAAATACAACAAAGATTAATAAATAGATGTATAACATTGAATAGCTCAAAGGTTTTAAAATTAGAAAGGGCCAAATCCTGTTACTTCCATAAAGTTCTCTAGACCAGTATGTATATGAGACAGGCAGGATTTGGCTTACAGTCAGCATTAACATTCAAGTCTGATGAAATCAATAAAACTGCTGCCTACAATGTAAACGCATGGAAAACAGCAATAAAGACCCCTCCATATTGAAGATTATTGCCATCACAGCAGAACTAAAGGAAGCGATCATGTAAGCACTAAATAACTTCATGCACAGAAGAAGAGAAATCTCTTCATATCCCAGGTAGAATCCTGGGAGTTGGGGGTGATGGGGAAGGAATTCAAGCTCACTTCTTTTTAACTAAATAGTAAAGCAAATATTTTAAAACTGTATTCAAATTTCCTTAATGCACATCTGAATGTACTTAGCACTACTACAACTACAAAAGAAAAGAGTTGTAGCTTTTGTTTTCCAAAATGAGCATACAGAGGTTGAAAACTGTATAAAAACTTGCATTCTCTGCAACCTTCAGTGTAACTACTGAGAAAGCAGACAGCACCTCATAGGATGAGCTGGTATTCCATAACACCTGAATAATATTACATTGCATATGTTCAACCTTCTTGGACATTTCATACTCTGCAGTAAAATTTACTCCCATAGTAGTTCTATTACAATCATTAGATTTTTTCACATGAATGCAGGTTCAGTGGATGCGGAAAATTAGTTTCTGCCTCAAGTTTTCTTGTTACCATAAGAGTAAATCACACTATGCTAGCTGAATGTAGATTCCTGTCATTTAACAGGACAAAGATTTAATAAAAAACATTTATTTACTTTTATAGTTCTTTTCAGGTCTGCAGAAATTTTAATCAATATCTACAGATTAATTTTCTCTTTTTCTTGATATAATATCTGTTTAACATGCTTCCAGTTTTAAAGCTTAGAATAGAAATGACTACACCAGTTTTATCACTACCACAAGGTCTTCTGTAAACTACTTAAAGCCATTCAGCCCAAAGTCATACCTTCCAGCTACTGTCACTTAATGGAGTCCAAGTTTAATCCCTTCTCTGCAGCCAAAAGTGTTTCAGCCCACCAGCCTTTTGGCTCGGTCAGCAGACACCTTTTGCAGTCCTTGTGCAAAAGCTGTGAGGTGATGCAGAAGAGGATTCAAGATTTCTGCAAACACAGAGAAGAAAACCTTCAGATCAGAATACAAGGGAGCTGCATTCCAAGATTTGCATCAGGTTCTGTTTCTCTGCCATGCCTAGTGACTGATGCCCAAAACCACTCCAGGGTGGGGAGTCTGTCCCCAGCTGGTCCCACCACAGCTCTGTGCCTGCGAGCTCAGCCCTTTGCAAGGGGACAGCAGAGTGGGGGCTCCTCCATCTGGGGAGGTTCTGGGGGCATGCTGCCTGTGCCCTCTGCCCTGGCCAGCTGCTCTGGTCAGAGCACAGACCCAGCCTGCTGCTTTGCACCATGCATTAGAGGAAAAACGCCAATAGTTTCTTGGCACCCCGAAGATAATGTGCCTAAGTCCAATTTGAAGCTGTGAATTTCTACTTCACGCTGACAGCTAAATCTAGGAGCAGGTGAGATTTCAGGATATGTTGTTCTTACTTCAAAACCATTTGCAGAATTTGGACTTAATCCTCAATGAATTCACATTCTATTACAATTCTCCTGAAAACCCTGAGAAAGCTTTTTGTTCACTAATTGAGATCTATTTTAGCTCTAGTAGTTGTAAAAAACCATCTATGGAGCTGAGGGCTTCTCTTCTCTAGTTAGAGGTTATATTTAATATTCTGGTCAATTGTCTTTTGCATATGGATTTGCTAGATAACAGAGCTGCCACATTACTGTAATCCAAAAATTAAAAATAATCATCTACTTTGTAACATTTTAACCATTTCACTTTCCCAAGTGAGAGTCTTTTCACAAAGGATTACCTTCTTTCCTATTAAAACAATTGATAAAGAATTCTGCACTGCACATAAGGTATGCCAAGCACTACTTATTCTTTCTACAATCCAAAATACTGCTGCAACTTACAAAACCATTTATAGCAGATTGTAACAGGTAAAATGGAACATTGCTTTTGTTCTTTCAGGCTTTGCATGCCCTCAGGCTAGTGATTTACTATACATCCACAATTTTCAGAAGCACTGTCTAAATTTGATATAGCTTAGTCCATAGATGTTCAGTTTCAAACAAATCAGTTCATGTTTTTGGAGATAATTACCTGTCTTTCTATTTGCTATTGTTGTTTTGCACAAAGGATCAACTTTCATTTCAGAAAGGAAGACAATTTCAGCACTACTGTATCAAAGAAATGGAAAAAAATAAACCTAGCATCTGTACTTCCAGTTAACGTGTCTACAGACACAAAGGATTTCAAAATTAACCTTTTTTATTTTCAGAATGAAGTTTCCTAAAATTAAGCAGCAGTAAACAGTAAATGTGAATTAGGACAACACAAAGAAAACCTCCATGCAGGAGGTGGTCTTTCCTTCCCGGAATGCTCTATTTGTGATATTTTATTATTTATAAGGTTTGAAGATTCCAGTAATGCTGTTTTACCTGCATTTAATCCCTAAAGCTTGAGCAGTAAGAATTGGGGTTAACTCTCAGTTCTCTAGCTAATTATTTTGCCAAAATCAAGTAGATTAAAAATAGCCTATTTTGCCAGTCAGTTTTTGCTCATGTCTAGATCTATGGAACTCTCATTGACCTGTGGAACTCTCATTTTGAATTGATTTTGTGCATCAGGATTACTGAGTCTGGTTAGACAACCCTGGCCTGAGTTTCATTCATTTTAAGTCAACTGTTATGACAGTTTGCAATACTGCTGGCTGCTTATCAAATCCAGTTGTTTCATGTGGAGTTGGTATTTTAAACTAAAGTGATAAGTAGTGAAATTTTCATAACATCAATACAAATGCTACTGCTAGTCTTTTGACAAAAATGCTTAACCAGAATTCTGGGATTTTTGGGCTGTTCTACTAGGACAATTAAAGTCTATTTTTGTTTTAATCTTATTTATGCAAAGTCACTTCTAGAAGAGCGCTGGAAACTGAGACACTTTCTCCACTGGAACTTTCTTCAAAAATTATGAATTTGACAACACAGTAAGTTAATTGTGTGTTAAGCTGACAGATTATTTTGCTGGATGTATAGGACAAGATAAAGGCTTCACTGAGAAGAGGGTCTCTTCAGGTATGTAGTTGCAAGATATCATTTCCTTTAATTTTTGGAATTGTAAGAATAACAGCTTGTACCACATCTGGCCACTCTGACAATGCAGCCTAAAGGACTCAACATCCATTTACATCCAGATCAGTGAGCATATAGGGAATTTTGATTTCCAACTTAAAGCTTAGAAAAGGACATCTGACACTAAAAAGCAGACATCACATCATGTTCTGTGTGAACCTCATTGCCATGGTTTCAGCATGCTCTGTACACACCTTGGTCAAGGCTCCTAATTGGCCCTGAATATCACTTGGAGTTAGTGGTAAATAGATGTCTAAGTGTCTCAGACTGAGAAAGCTCTTAGCATACAAAGAGATCAAAACCTGACATGACCAGCACCTCTCTACAATATATTTTACTCTCAGTACAAACTTGCCTCTTTCACAGCCTTGCAACAGTAGTAAGCTTTGAAATCTATAGCTTGTGTGTCACATAGAAACTAAAAGGATCCTTTAGTTTGTAATTTGGATGTGGGAACTTGACAAATATGTAACAACTTTTTCCTAGATAAAGCAGTTTCTTATGTTTTTTGATATTCTTACCATTAAACATGAGGTGAATTAAAAAAATATAAAAATAGACTGATCAGCTGATTTTATTTCTTTTCATGCTTTTCTGTGTAAAAGTGCATTGCAGTGTTACCATAACAGAGCCTGTGAAGTTGTGTCATGCTAACATAGCCAGTATCAGCACCACCACTAATCTTATCAGCAAGGCTTCTCTGGCAGCCTCCTTTCCTACAATAATTGTCATAACCCATCTGTTCAGAGAGGGAGGCTGACTCACATATCTACATGCTTATTATGCTGCCATCCTTCAGGGTGTCACCACTGCAAAGGATTTGAAAGCCTGAAACAGGACCAGGCAACCCCAGCAGAACCCTGCAAACATTTACATACAATCTTTATGCTTATATGGCTACACATACAAAAACTGGAAAGGAAGCCAGTAAGTATATCAGGGAAATAAATACCTGCTCCAAGGGGAGCCAGCTGAGAACCCATAGCTGCAAGCCAAGATCCCTGCTGTTTTCAAATAGACTGGAGGAAGAACAAAAAATGTACAATGCACAGACAAGATGATGTCCCTTCTGAATTTCAGTAGCTGCCTTTTGCACTGACTTAAAACAGCTCACTGTAAGCTTTTCAGCACTACAAATAGTGTAAAGGCACTATTTACTACTGTGCTCCTTCTGTTGGTATGCCAGCATGCAATAACAGTGTCCTGTGCAGCCCTGATGATGCAGGTGTCAAACAGCAGAATGTTATCACCTCTGGTATCCAAGGCAGACAGGAGAAGCCTACCAGAATAACTTGCAGCTCCAATTTTAGCAATGTCCATGTTGAAAAGTGGCAAATCATAAAAAAGGATTACAACTTAACCAAATAGCATGATATGAGGTATGTAAGTCTGTTATTGGCAGAGGAGTCCAAAAAACAACTCTTAGTACTCGCCTTGTGCACAAGTACTACAAGCTTGGATATTTGCAGTCATTCATTTCTGGTATTTATATGCTCAAATTTCATTTAAGAGAGGAAAAGATAGGTATTTATGTATCAGTGGAGAATACAATTGTTAGCATTCAAATGTGAATTTATCTCTGTTTCTTTGCTCAAATTGTAATAAAATGTTTTGAAAGGTTATTTTAAAAAATTATAATGGTAATTTTTAAAATAAACAAAATTTAATAAGAAAAAGTTTCTTTCAAAAGTATGAGGATAGTATAATTATAAATAATTCTATTATAATGCTAATTGTTTAAATGTTAAACTTTTATTTGGTAGTTCATTGTTTCTGTAGAGATGCACTTTAAGTGAAAAACCTGTTTGTTAGTTCCACACAAATAATGTCATTAAAATATGTTATAGTAACACAGACAGCTAGAATTCCTCATGATTGCTACAGAAGAACATTATACTTTCTTTGAATTTTTTTTTCCTCAATGACAACAAATTTAACATTCCAATCAGCTACAGTTCTATCAAATGAGCACTAGAGACAATGTATGTAATAATCCTTTTAAAATAATGGTTTACTAACAGCTATACAGTATACTCGAAAAGAATTGCATACTTTTTCATTTTAATATGAATAAATAAATTTAGAAATATTTATTCTTTTAATATGAGGCTGTCTTCTTTTAATTTATATAATAGTGCAAAAGTCATCCTGTAACATATAAATCTCTTAGTAATCTTGGTACCAAGTCCTATCATAAATTTCAGGGTTTTTTTCTGAAACACTGTCTCTGTACTGCCTGGAGTTTCTTTCTGATAACTCTAATCACCTATTCACATACTAACTCACCAAAATGAAAATTTCCAAAACATTTACCACTTATGACTCTTCAGTTTCCACATCCTTAAGTAGGGTTGTTTTAACCTGGACTCCTTCATGAAATAGCCAAAAATCTGAAGCCTTGGAAAAACTCAATTAGTTTTTACCATGAACTAGTCAGAGGCATCTTCATAATACATGCAAATCAGGTGCCAGTCATTTCAGAACTCTGTTTTAATATAGCCACTGTAGACATTCAGATCTGCTAAAATGTTCCCACATTGAGCAGCTAATCTAGGCCTTCTGATTCAAAATGTAAGACATTTTCAAGTTTTCCTAATTTTATTAAGGCTGTTCTAAAGTTTTCCTATTGTAACTTTATAATATTTCCTGGTCTACACCGCAGGTAACACCACCCAGTAAATAGATAATTTTTGACCACAATCAAGGTGAGGGTTTTCCACCCAAGCAGGAAAAGAAGACTCAAAGCCACACAAAGATAACACAAGAAAAGGAAGAATCAATCAGCTAAAATAGATCTCTCCTTCAAGTATTAATTTGCCAGGAGTCACAAAAGGTTAAGTACAAAGGACACATGACCTTCAGTTTCCCACTTGCAACAAGCATCCAATAAAGATGCTTTGAAAATTCCCTTTAAGGCTGTTCCATGCAGTTTGAAGAGGAGCAACAGTGATAAAATCTGTCGAATAAAATTCAGAAGACTTCTTTGAATTGCAAAACAGAACAGAAACTTTAGTTTCTTTAGTTGCAGAACAGAAACACACAGGATGCACACAGTAGATAAAGTGAAACCATATTTTCACCTAGTGTACCAAGGTGCTGGTGATGCTGATAACAGGTGACAAAACGTCTCCATGCCAGGCATGCAGCTTCCCAATCCTCAGTGAACCTCGCCCACATGACTGAGTTATGAGTCTTTGCAGATACCTTTTACAGGATCATGTAGGAGTTCTAAAGCAAAAGGAAGAATAGAATTAATTTCTGAAAGGCATAACTGGGAAAGTGGCTTCTTTTTTCCTGCAGTTTTTTTCTAATATTAGGAATATATACAGTATTCTGCTACATACAGCAGACCAGGGAAAGGCTTTACAGAAAAGAGAGATCTGTCTCTCCCCCATAAAAACAGTAGTGCACACCATTAATGGTGATAATAAGGAAACAAATTAAAGTTGCCTAAGCTTTAAAACCATAATCACTTTCTTTTAACTTGTATGGACTCTTTAATGCATTGTGCTCCACCAAGTAGGAAATCTTTTCTCTTTTAACTATAAGCATATATGCTATCACAGCTTATTCCTTCAATGAATAGGACTTTACATCAAGCATCTAAAAGGTACTTGCTTGCTTAACAAAGAGAATGATTTGAAGGACTAAAGGGATCCTTCAAATTTCATCATATGTGAAGCAGTTTATATTATATAATAGAAGTGAATGTAAGTCATTTTACAATACCTTAAACTCTGTTAAACTGGTGAGCAAAATATATTAGCATCACAGTAATGTGTTCCTGCCTGTCCTAACAGGCATTTATTCCTAACACAACAATTATGACACAAGTTTCACAGACACTGAAGATCCCTAGATGTGTTTCAGTCCTGTGATCTAGCTACTAACTTCATGAAACATCAGACTATCCATTAGCAATTACAAGAGTCTGAAGTCAGTGAAATTAGATGAATTTTGAAAGAGCAAGGAATGAAGAGTCATCCTCTTATCCCTTAATCAGCATAACTTTAAAAATTATGTTAATTTCAGCCACTCACCCACTGAAACTTACTTATGAACATTTTCATTACTAGCAGATAGCAACTAAAATTAATGACCCCATGTTACTATATTTTCCAAGTGGGAGGTCCAGGCTAAGTAGTAACCTTGTCATTTTTTACCAATGTCAAATATAAAGGTCAAATAGGGGGCATTTCAGAAGCCACAGCCCATAATGAATAAGAGCATCCAATTTAAGGAACTATTATCCTAAAGAGCATTAAGAATGAATGATTAATGACATAATGATTAATTAAACAATAAATTTGTTGACATGTGTTTAACCGAAAAGAGTAAGCAGAAACTCAATGGTTAAAGGAGAACATAAACCACCTTTACAAGTTCTACTTAGCATCCTATTTCTTTGAAGCAAAGGAAATAATTTATCTGCAACCTATGTGGCACTAAATATTGAGTGAGAAATCGAGGAAAATCTTTCCTGAGAATTAATGGAAAGATGGTGAAGTACATTTTTTTTCTCTTTAAATTCAAATTTCTTACTTTTAATGTTCCAGTTTTTATAGTTTCTCACACTCCCTAAGAGCAGCACTTCTTATACCCACATACTTTCACTCTCCAGAGCTACAGCTTGCACTACGGTTCCATGAAACAGTCAATCTGGTATTAAGTAGAAAGGTACCAAAGATGGGAGTAAAATAAGTCAGTTGTACGAGACAAAGCTTTGAAAAATTCACTTTGTCTGTTCAAAAGGACTCAAAAATTTTGAAAAGCTAACTTTTTTTCCATATAGACATTATTCCAGATCACATATCAGCCATTCCACTGCTGCAGAAAGCCTGCATAGAGCACTGTGAGGTGGTCTTTGTGAACAGAAATGCAACTGTGCTCTATCTGATCAGCTTGAGACCCTCAGGGAATTGAGTGCATAAATCCAGCAATACTGAACATAGAGACATGAATTTAATATCAGATGTTGCTTCTCTGGTACAGATTAGAGGAAACCTGAAAGCAGCTGAACTCCCCATACTGTCCTTCCTATGGTTTGCATGAAAAGTTAAGGATACATTATTATTTCAGTTTCCAAACGGGGTAACTTCCTCCTTAAACAGGAAAAGCAAGCTGGTGCAAGAAAAACCTGAAATTTTCTTTCAGTTCTTCAAAAGTTCTACATTTGCTTCATTTAAAAGTTAGCAGTCTGTAGATTCTATGATGAAAAGATAAGTAAATTGAACAGATAGACTCAGCAAGGATCTAAGGAACAGTCATGAGTGGAAGACCCATAGTAACACAATCAGTGAAAACCTAATCAGTGAAAATTAGAGCACACTGAATCAGCTGCCTCTAAAGCTATCAAGAGAAAATTATTGTCCCTGGTGTGAACCCCACTGAGATGAGTCAGCAGCAGAAACTCTCTCTCAGAGGCCTTCAGACTAAAAGGAGAATATTGCCTTCAAGGGTACAGGATTTATCACAAAATGGAGTGGTGAAAAGGATTCATGGATTGTGTAAAAATTATTAAGGGATGCGCCAAGTTAATTGTGGGAATGTTCACTTTTTATGGTATGCTTAATGTAAGTACCAAAGATGGGGAGAGAGGGTAACCAAGGAGAACTGGGAGGAACAAACATGGGAAAATAGAGGAAACATGACCAAAGTTTCATGTGAAACATGACACAGTTTCATGTGAGCAGATAGTGAGCAGTTTTTTGTCTCCTGCTCACAGAGAGGAGGAACAGATTCAGGCTGACTGTGAGACTCATGGTTATGTGAGGGCTGTGTGTGCATTTATGGGTGTCAGTATAGGCACCACTATTTGTGGGGTCTGTGTGGCCACAGTCATGTCAGACTTGTGTGCACAGACTGGGAAAACTTGTGTCTGGGGACAGGGAGCCACAGTGGCTTCACAAGCATGACGGGGGATGCCTGCAGAAGAATTTGGAAAACTGGAAATATTATTACTATTATTTTTCAGAGAGATATTTCAGACAGTTGCCAAATCATCTTGTGGTCTTAGCAAATTGAGAGTTGTGAATTCAAAGATTCTCCATCCCTGGAGATATTGAAAACCCAACCAGACTTGTTCCTGAGCAACCTACTAAAGGTGACACTTATTTAAGCAAGGTTTTGGACCAGGTGGTCTCTAGAGGTCCCCTCCAACCTCAGCCACCCTGTGATTCTCTGAAAAAAAAATTTGCCCCTCTTTTCCAAAGGCCCTAAAAATTATGCTGTAGAAATATAAACAAAAAAATTAAAGTAAAGCTCTCAGGAAACAAAAGGCACCTTTCAAGGACTTCTATAGTCCATATGGTCTTGAGACCCAGACTTAAGCTTTCTCCATCTATTTTGTGAACCTTGTGCCTCTGTAGTTGCATTAAAGCAATGATCCAAACAAATCATGTTATATTGGATTCCTTCCATACCACTGCCAGCTTGGGGTTCAGAGCTGTTTCAAAGTCATATAATCCAAAAGGTGAAAAGATCCTGAAAAATATAATACAAATATGTAAAGCAAGATCATTATAAGTGGATAGAATTTAATCAAACTGCCCATTTTTTCGTAGGGTTAGAAGAAACCAAATTTAAGGGGAAAAACTAAATCCAGAGACCATTGTCAACATACAGTTCCATGTGTTTATGGTAAAATATTGCCTCAGGGGAGAAGCTGATACTTTCAAAAATAAAAATAAAATGGTTTTCTATAAAACCTCGACTCTTAAAATATTTATATTCCACTTGAAAAGGCTTGTCTAATAAAATACTTCAAGATCAAGAGGAATCACTGAGGCATTTAGTCTGCCTTTGCACATATCTTGAGCTAAACAATATACCCAATTACTCCTGTAGTCACATCAGTAATAAATGGCTTTGACTGACACATACAGGAGTGATCTGGAAATACCAAGAGGTGGAGAATGCACCATTTCTCTCTGTAGGTAATTTCAATTGTTAACACTGGCAACAGTGAAGACGCTTTATTTCTAACCTGAATGTATTTGATTTTGACATTCAGACATTAGTTCTTGTTGTGATTTTATCTGATAAATGAAGGAGCCTTTAACATCCAATATTTTCTCTCCATGAACCTTAACAACTATTAATCACTCAAGATGATGGTGTAATAGGCAGGAAAAAATACTTAGCAACTTCAAAGAATACTTAAGAAGCAAGAAGAAACAAACCAAAACTCCTCAGTATTCTTCCTATCATTCTCTCTTACCACACTAAGAGTACTTGTACTCTTAGTACTCAGGATCTTTTCAACATTTTTCTGGGAGGTTTTTTTACTATCTGTGAGCATCACACTTCCATTGGAATCAAAAATGGTCTAAATTGTATAGTTCAGATAGGTCAGAGCTGTTAGCCAAATCCCATTTATGCTTATTTGGGTATGAACATAGGATTGCTGTTTATAAATTGCCAGAATAAAGGACTGCAGATTTAGCAGAGTTTTCTATTTTTATCAGAAATTTTATCAAAAGCAGCAGAAGAATTTTTTTTTTTCCTTAGGTACTTTTCCTAGGAACTTAATTCTGTAGTGTTTAGTTGCAACTTTCTAACATTCCACTTTTAGCATTATTTAATTTCTAGAGAAAAATATTATGATTTTTACTTCCTGAGATATTGACATGATTTCTAGTATTATTATTTGAGGACAATTTATTTGACAGAAAAAGTGATTAAATGAGATAAACAGTGAATAAAGGAGTATATTTCACTTGTAATATCTTTTAAATTATAATATCACCCTTCAGGTCAGGCATTTTATTTCAGATCACCAGTGTCATTGTAATTCAGGATGTCGTGAGGAAGAAAAATCAAAAACTCTTACAGAAATATATTGTTTTATATATTGTTTTGGTGATTTTTGGAATTCTTTTATTAGTACACGGGGAACAAAACTACCATAGTGTCATAACAAAAGAATACTAGCTATTGCACTGCTTCATTATACTTCTTGTATAGCCATTTTGTTTCAGGCTTATTCAGAAAATCATTTTCTCCAAGTATTACAGCATTGAGAGGCAGCCTCTGGGTAAGAACATACCACAGATAACCACTAAGGCTGAATTTTAATCATACCCTTGGCTCTTTTAGCTCCACAAAAACCATGTTTTGGAGTAATATTCCTAGACTTGCACTAAAGAAAAAGCAAAAGAAACGTGTCTGCCTGAGCTCCAACAGTAGAACAAATTATGATTCAAAACATTGTGACAAAACAGACAAAT